CCCCGGAGCCTGGTTTTCAGTATGAAAGAAGCACAAGCACAAACATAAGCAAAAATCTACAAATCTGAATTAACGTACATCTAAATCACAGGAAAGCACTGTGAAATAGTAGGTAATTTATGACGTTTTTTTTTCCTTCATAATTATGACGTATAATCGTTTGTTTCACAATCTGGTCACTTGTAATGCAGCCACACGATGTGGTCGACCACTCACGAGGTACTTGCAATCTGCTTTGTGAGAAAGATTTAAACAAATAGATTCCATGTTGCCATGCGTCTGTTCAGTAATTGATCACAGATGAAGTCAAAATATGGTAAGAACAAAACAGTGGTCCATGAGGTGATAGCCGAGTGTGTGTTTGAAGTTCTTACCACGTTTTTAAGTATTCGATTCTGTGGTCTTTTACTGTAGAGACGCACGGCAACATGGAATGTATTGATTTTGTACAATAAGAAACAAAAAATGTTACTGACCTTATTCATACCATCGGCCCATCTGCCTTATAATTGATCATAAGTAACAACCAATGAAAATGCGAGAATAATTTGACTTATTACATGAATTATTTCACCACCATGAACAACCATAACACAAGTACAAATAAGAACTTGGAGATCGGGGATCGAGGGATTTGTCAACATGTGTAAAATAATTTCCTGTGTAACCAGGTCCAGCAGTTGACTGTCGGGAGATCAAGAACCGGGGTATTTATCAAGATGGAATGTATTGGTTGGACCCGGATGGAGGAAGCCATTCAAATGCATTCCAGGCTTACTGTGACATGACGTCATACAATGGAGGATGGACCATGTGTTACACTACTGATGAATATGTCAAACCCAAGACTGAAGTCACATACAGCGCTCAGTTTCCTTATGGAAGTAACGGCTACAGGACTAACTGTAACAACATAACGGTAAGTTGACTGATCATACTTTAGTCAATCATGGAGAAAAGACAATTCCATGGGGAAAAAAGATGGCGGCTGGATATTTTACTCCAATACCTTGGGAGGCGAACACAGCCCATTAGGCAGTAGGAAAGCTATATTTTGTCAGAATTCGTTCCTGTATTAACGACATTGAGGCTTTTAGAACTTTTCCTACAAAGGATTATTTCACTAAATAACGCGAAAACCAGGTAAGAAATCATCACTAATGCTTCACAATGCGACATTCTACCCTGATTTACTATAAGCAACAATTCGGTGGACACAGAAAGGCACTATTGAACTGTCTGTCCATGGCATCGCTGGTAACCAAGCCTTTCTTAATTTAATGTCGACGTCATATTTCCTCCAGCTGAGGCCTAGACCAGGTAATAATTATTAGATAAAACTTCAAAGAGATACAATGTAGTTGGCGCGTGACGCGGAAAACGTGTGCGAGCGAGAAACGCTGGATTTTCGTTTTACTACTAGTTTGATGATCGACATGAATTTTTAGAGACAACCTCTCAGCATAGAAATGCAAAATGTTCTAGTCTACGGTAGTTGACGTTATTTTTTGGTGGAAAACATAATGATCGCTTAAGTGGCCTCGACCATTTACAAAGGAAAAAATTGCAGCAGACAGATCGGGAAACCAATACCACGAGTTTTTATCAGTGAAATTGTAATTTGTGATAAAATTTATATTTTGTCGAAACAGAACAGAGAACTGGGTACGAACGTAGTAAGCGAAAGCTCATGGCTAGTAGGTTTGTAAAAAGAGACTGTTGAGAAACTTGTGACATTCAAGGGTTAGCCTTGCCACTAGCACTTTCGGATAAGGTTTATTTGTTGTTCTAGTGTTGTGTAAATAGCGTTATCTAATTTATCTTCCATTCTATTGTGAGTGGCACCACTGCATTCGGTCAGAGGTACATGGATCCTATTTTTCCTAATAAGAGGTAGAATGTCATTTGATGCATCTTTTATCCACTTTGTTGTAATCTTATTG